AAAAAAAAAAATGGGAGTAAAAACATTTACCTTACTAGGTTGATATGATGACTAAATATGATAGTTTATAGGAAAGCACCTGGTAGTACCTGATACATATCAATTTTATAATGCGTGGGTTTACCAATAAAAATAGACATTAGCTGTAATAATGCCTTTTTAGAATATAGGTGGTGAGTCTTGGATTTTCTGTGATTTGTGTATACGATGCACAATACAATTTAAATCTTCAGCCATCTGGAAAATCTCGATGATAAATGTCTTTAAATAGGATCCATTAGGTCATAAGTGATCTTTGAAAAAGGAAAAAAGAAAAGTCATGAATCAGCCCAGAGTTAATTCTTTCCAACAAAATAGAATAGACCCTGGTTTCCCATGAGCCTCCCTATTTTGTCAACTCTCCAGATGTATCCCCCAGAGAGCCAAGCATTCCAGACTGGGTCATTGGACAGGGCATTGGGCTGGGTCACTGGGCCTGGTCCAAGAACCTCTTCTTTCATGGACCTTCTGACAGTGAATCTGGGCAACTAAAACAAATACTTATAAAATAACAACAATAGTAATTAGTCCAGTGACACAGTGTACTATATTTTCAATTGGTTCCTTCTTTTTAAAAATTAGGATGAGTAGATTTTTATTGTAGATTGGAAGTTGATGTTTGAAGTAAAATTAATTTAGAAAACAATGGTGCATTATTCTCTTCAGCTCTTGTTAGTGGAGAGACTGCTTAATGCTGCTGGGGAAAATATTAGTACTAAATACCAAGGTGTGGATCTGAAATACATAAAAGAAAAAAAGTAGTAAAACCACAAATGTCAAAAAAAAAAAAAAAGAAGAAGAAGAAAGCAAGCAAGCTACATGCAAGATGCTCATCTTTGAAAACTCATAAACCTTTTTCTATTTTCTAACTTAAAATTCTCTAACCCATAGGTAACAGCAACAACAAAGCAGGATCATACAAAGCATCTAAAAAAAAAAAAACCCTCACATTGGAAGTATTTAAAGTGAGGTGTCAAATTCTTTCTCAACATGAAAATGGTTGTTTCGTTATTTGTTTTTACTCTATTTCTGATTCAAGGTCTCAGGCCAGGAATGCCGCAGAAACCACTGACCAAGAGTGCCCCTTCCAGGGTTAGACTCAATCTTGTCTGCCAACAGGGAGGCCTTGTGAGTGGCTGGGATGGATTTTTTTGGCCCTGAACAAGTGTTAGACTGAGTATCACTGAACGCTTGTGTCATACACTTACTGGTTCACTGGGTAGAGGGTTGAGCAGTCCTGATGACCTGTCACACCAGGAACTTTTACTTCTATATGCCCTCACTGTCTAGCACAAAGCCCCATACCCGGTAGATGGATAGCAAATGACGATAAATCTTGCCTGTGGTACTTTCCTTCCCTTAAAGAAACATAACTTGCGTGTTTGGATATTGTGGATGCAGTGGTGTGACCCTCTCCCTGTCCTTTTATTTGACCATCACAAGGATTATCCCAGGATAGCCTCAACTGGTGGTTCTACCTGTCCCCTAACTTTTATGTCATGACCACCTGCACAGGGACTTAAGTCTCTAATGCATTTCCCCTGAGCAAAGAGAATTGGGTTATTTATTTCTGAGATGCAAAGTCACTCAAAAGCACTTTGAAACACTACCCTTGCCTTGATACACATCTGGAGTTGCTTTAGAAATATCCTTCTTCATACATAAGCCAAGGCCCAAGTTGTTATTGGTCTCCTCTGTGTGGAAGATTAAATTGCATACTACTGCTAAAAAGCAGAACTTCCCCGAACAACCAACCTGTGTGGTCCGTACACTCTGGCTTCCATTTCCAATAAAATTAATTTTCATCCAATTCAGCCGGGGACGGCTTATTGTCATCAGTCACAAGCCCTTCACTGGGTACTCACTGCGTGCTCGATGGGGTACTAAGTGCTCTCAGCTCCACCACTGAAGGAGAAACACGATTGGCTGCTGAGTCATTTAGGCAGACAGGGTGACTCAGGAAGCAGTACACGCTTCAGAGTTTGGGGAAGAGAGCTGAGAAGGAGCTGAGACAGTGGAGAGCCATGCCAGTTCACACTTGAATGTGAAAAATTAGTACAAGGAAAAATCCTGAGGTGGGAAATGTAAAAGAACAAGAAAGCTGAAAAGGATTATGCGGTATGGAGATTATAGATGAGAAGCACCAGCAAAGCTTCGAATGATTTTCAGAGGAGTATCAGGGTGGGCTGATGTCATTGTCTTTCTGTCTCTGTTCTCTTGGTCAAGATTACTCTCATCCAAGACTGTAAAGATCCTCTTGAATTAATGGAAGCAGAGCTGATTGAAGAAGAACTTGATGTCCAGGATGAGGTATGATCATTATTTCCTTTCAGTGAAAATAATTTGGATTGAACCTTGACTGAATAGCATAATACAAAGAGTGACTATGTCTGACTAAAACCATTCAGGAAAATGATTTTTAAAAATATACCAAAAGGATGGCTTCATAGAAAGGGGAAAATGGAAAACAAGAATTGTCCCTTGACAATTCTTAGGGACCTTTTGCCCCAGACATATAGGCACAATCAGTGACTGGGAGCAGCCAACACACTGGGCCTGATTTTATACCTAAGCCTCTGCATATGTCTTCTTCCTTCCCCACCTAAGGACCATGGGATGGGGGAGAGGTAGATGGAGGGAATTTCTAACCCAGGAGTTTTATAAGCTTCAGGAGAAGTATGTGAGGGACAGGAACTTCACGGAACTTTCTTCATCTGGCTGATAATGGTAAACAAGACACTTCCTCCATTTGAGACTGAGCCCATGTATTTCTGATGCTCTTGGGACATCAGACTCTTCCTAGGAACCTTGACCTAAACGTAGTATCTGACTGAATCTTTGTGGCTCCACCACCAAGTAAAAGATTTTAGTTATTTATTTGCCAGAGAGAGAGAGAGCGAGAGCACAAGCAGGGGGAGGGGCAGGCAACAAAGGAAGATCCTAGGAATTTTAAAGTTAAAAGATGTCTTGGAATATCAAGACATCCACATCCTAGCCCCTGCAGAAATCTCTCCTACTTCATCCCTAAGGATGTTCACTCAGCTTGTGTGTGAACATTTCCAGATATTGGCAACTGATAGCTTTTCAAGGGAGTTTGTCACATGATTGGATGTCTCCAAGTGTTAGTTTTGCTTCCAAAACTAGATGCAGCCTTTCTTTAATAACTACCCAGTGGACTGAGGTCTGCCTTCTTTAGCAACACAAGCCCTCCCACTGAACAGCCTTTACCTATTTGAGAGTAGCTCTCAGGGGTCCAACAGACTCTACCCCAGGCTAGATTCCTCTAGCTCCCTTTATTCCTCATGGGCGCAAAATTTGTCAAGAGTGGGACACAAAATCCCAGGTGGAGTTAGGTCAGCATGGAGATTACACAACCACAATCAACCTTGATCTTGTCAAAATATGTCTATTACTGTGACTTTAAAATGTGTTTATTTTCATTGCAGCCACATCAAAATCTTGGCTTCTTTTTTTCTTTTTTAAAGATTTATTTATTTATTTGAGAGAAAGAGAGAGTGAGCACGGGGGAGGGGCAAAGGGAGAGGGAGAGACTCTCAAGCAGACTCTTGCTGACCGTGGAGCCCAACGCAGGGAGCTTGATCTCACGACCTTGAGATCATGAACTGAGCTGATACCAAGAGTCAGATGCTTAACCGGCTGAGTCACCCAGGCACTCCTCAAAATCTTGGCTTCTACTGAGCAGGGGCCAACAAAAAACTTGGTCATTTTACACAAACTATGGCCCAGCTAGGCTCCCCATTTATAGTTATGTAATTGGTTTTTTACCCTAATGCAGGGTTACACATATTTTTGCTAGATTACATCTTGTTGGTTCTAGTTTATGGATATAGTTTCAAATTCTGAACTCATCACCCAGCATATTAACTATCCATCCTACTGGTGTCATAGGCAAATCTGATTAGCATGCCTTCTCTGCCTTATTCCAGATCTTGATAAAAGATGTCGAGAAGAATAATATTTGAACCCCTATGGTATAATCAGGCAGTGAGGATGACAGGCAGAGATTTTTGTGGAGAAAATACATTGCTAGGGTGAAAATCAGAGGTCCTGCATCCTTAGTCCACCAGCTTAGTGAGTCTGGAAATGTCATTCTTTTTTTTTTTTTTTATAAGATTTTATTTATTTATTTGCCAGAGAGAGA